TTTTACCACTTCTTCATGAAATGTGCCATCTTCAGGGCAACCATGCCATATTGGCATGTAATATTGTACTACCTCTGTCCAGAAAATGATGCAATTCTAGCTCTATCCTTGGTCAAACTTTCTAAAATTTGACCGAGATTATAGAAAAAAAATATCAACATTTACAACACAAATATGTATACTATGAAAATATAGTTAATGATAAATCTAATGACACTTATTGGGTATCATAAAATAAAATATTGATACTTTTGTATAAACTTGGTCAAACTCAAAATTATTTGACTCGGTACTATGCTAGAATTGCACTTTCCTAGACGGAGGGAGTACTATGCGATCCCTTAATTTGTGCAGAGAAAAAGGAGTGTTGTGTGTGGCATTTTAATGACAATTGGTACAATGATGCTGGAGTAATCCCATAGTCATAAAATTTAACTTATCAAATTGTTGCTTCGTGGAATGACATGTTTATGTTTATCTCACATCCCTCTCTCCACATCATAACAAATCATATGTGGTATTGCATGAGGCGACAATTTGGAAAACTAGAAGGATACCTCGCTTGTTTACGAGACTTCCTTAGAACTAAAGCTATTGCATGTATGAGTTGGACCCATGTTATTGTATCGGTTCTGGTCAAAATTGGGAAAGGTAATGAAAGAATCCAACAAAAAATAATAAAATATTAGATCAAACTATAAGTTGATGGAACAACAAAACAAATAGCATTATTTGTGTGCCTTATATTTTTTGATAGATTGAAAATAGTAACACATATGGAGGATGACATGGATAGCTTGCATGAAGAGATTGAAAGGTAGTGGGAGATGTGGTGTTTATAGCATCTCGAACAGGGACCCTAAACAGGGCTTCTATTTTGGTGCCAGAGCAACAGGGCCCTAACTCCCAACTCAAGTCCCTACTTTATGGAGGCCTCCAAATCTCCTCTCTCAGCCATCTCCCAGGGTGCATAGGAGCTCCCTACTTAGGATTTTTTTTCCGGTGTCTCTTTTTGTCCTGACTCTCGCTCCACCGCCCTATTCCCCTCCCCCGGGGCGACTCCCCCGGTGAAGCCCGGCCTAGCGCGGCTCGCCTCCCGTTGCTTGTCCCATCGCCGGAGGCAGTTGACCCCGCCGTGGCTCCCCTCCCCGTGCAGTCTTCGATGCTCCTTGCCCTCACCATGCCATCTCCGGTGCTCCTCCCTCCCTCCTCTCTCGTACCCATGGTGGATATGGCCGAAGGACGAGTGGTTTCCATATGCCAGTGTCTACTGGAATGGATTTGAGGGCTGTTGGAGTAGATGCAAAAAAAAATCCCTCAAGAGTAGGGGGAGCCCTCAAATCAAAATTAGGGGCCCTGATTTGGGGACTCCTCAAATCAAAAGTTGGGGCCCTGATTTGCGGACTCCTGCTGGAGTTGCTCTTAGTGGGGATGACGTGGATAGCTTGCATGTTGAGATTGAAAGCTAGTGGGAAAATGATATGGCATTTAGTGGGGGATGAGGTGAATAGCTTGTGTGGTGAGATAGAAAGCTAGTGAGGTTTGTTTTTATTAGATATGTGGATGTAGATATAGACATAGATATAGATTACCCGTTCCACTACAAGCTCCAGATTCCATGAAGTGATGCCCTTTACTTTTGGTGCATGTGGCGCACCCCTTCTTAAATAGTGCCTTTCTTCAGGAGTTATCTGGGTAACTGACTGTCATGTGGCATAGCTTTGTCTTTATTGGTCATGGTGCGCACTTGTGTGTTTTGCCTTTAAAGTTGTGATGCTAGAGATGCTCTCACCTCTACGACTTCCTCATTTCACTGAGTTTGTGAAAAATTGTCTGTCCTTGGTAGATGCTCAATGTAGTATGTTTTTGGCCTCTCTTTTTCTTGTGCCTGTACTTGCTATGCAGCTCATCCATTCTATTTGCACCATTGTGGATCATGATTCCCACAATTTTTTACTGACTTGTACGTCTCCTTGTCATGAGCCATTCTTCATCTTCTCTTTCCTGTAGTCCTTTATCGTCTGTTCCTCACTTATGCTTTTTACCTTTTGTGATGTGATGTCATGTTCCTACTAGCCTACTACTCCTAACTCTCAAGGCGCCTCTGTCTCAAAACTGCCCCATTATGCTTATGCTGGTCAGTTAGGACTCATGGTTGCTCTTTCCTTCCTTATAATTTCTTAGACCACATCTCAAGGAGCCTCTGTTTCAAAGCTTGCTGCTTCTAATGTTGCTGCTGCTAAGGAACCTTGCATGTTTTTCTCCCATCACGTGTAAGTAGGTCGATATGATTTTATGACACTGTTGGGTGTTACAAGGCTTGCACATGGGGTTTTTAGAGAGTGATCATGAATTTGATGAAACTTGTGCTCATGTGACCTTGTTTTTTTTCTCGAACTATGCAGTAGAGCTGCGCGTCATTTCATTAAGGTAGAAAAAACAGTACACGAGTCCAGTAGGACCCAAACCCGAGTACAAAGAACCAACACACACATCACACCTCACGAACTAATCTAGAAACTCGCCACAAAGAACAAGAAAAAAACGACCATCGACCAAAGGGCCTAAGCACCAATGGCCAGCAACCTGGGCATGAGCTCTTGGAGCTTTGAAGCCCCTGCTGAACACCGGAGACCACCCTCCATGCTCACAGCCCTCAGCACCACCTGAAGACTCGGTCTCGAATTCTCAAACACGCAATCATTTCGGTGTTTCCAGATCTCCCATGCCACCAAGATTATTAAGGAGTTGAGGCCCTTACGCGCTTCTTTTGGTACAGCTCTGATAACTTTTCTCCACCATCCAGAGAAACGACCCACTGAAAGATCAGATGCTAATTGTACTATGCTCAAGAGCTGAAAGATCGAAACCCAGACTTGGCGAGCAAACACACAGCCAACCAAAAGGTGACTGATTGTTTCCTCAGCCTGATCACAAAGGGGGCAGACCTCCGGGTGGAGACCCCGTTTTGCTAAGCGGCCGGCCGTCCAACACCGGTTATGAACCACCAACCAAATGAAGAATTTGCAACGCAGGGGGGCCCAACTCTTCCAAATTCTTCTCCAAAGACTGAACTTGATTGTTCCGACGAAGAAGGCAGAATAAGCGGATTTGCTGCTGTATGAGCCTGACGGGGTCAATTTCCACTTAAACTGGTCAGGTACATCTTGTTGCAAGACTGTACCTTCCACCCAGTCCCAAACCTGAAGATATTCAACCCAAACTTGTACTGTAAGAGCCCCATTTATATCTCTGACCCATCTTCTATTTTGTACAGTTCGCCTCTTGGCTGTTCGTTTCGAGACTGTCCTGAACAGGTTGGGAGCCACCTCTGCCATGGTATTGCCATCTAACCAGCGATCAGTCATGTGACCTTGTTTGATGCCTTTGCTCAATAGGTGGTCTCTTTTGCTATCGAGTAGAACGATTAAACCTTGTCTGAAGTAAGTTTGGTAGCTTACAAGTGAACAACAAGATATTAGCCCTGGCAGGTATTAAGGTTCGTCTACTTACCCCTTTCGAGTATAACCTCAGGTATTATCAGGCACTCGATCCCCAATACTATCTGAAGGACCTCAAGGTTGGTTTTGGAGGCAATTTTCTGACATGGTAAAATGATGTGGCTTAATCCCTTTGAGTATAAACTAGGTATCTGTCATCTGATTATTCAATATTCATCTAAATGGCCCCCAAAGCTGGTTTTGGAGTCGTTTCGCTGACATGGCCACATTGTGTGTGGCTATGATAACACTTACTGTTCCTATATTTATTCTCTCTATTGTCTCTTTCACACTTACTCGAGTTTGTTGCTGCCCCAAGTACCCCCCTGGTCGCTACCCATCATGTCTATCCCATCCTTCACACTCGCGTAATCGCATTGCAAATAGCTGTCTGTTCCACATTCACCACGCTACCAGATCTGGAGCGTTGCCTACTCGCTTTCCCGCTCTGATGCATGATTTGGTGCTTGAGCAGACAGACATCCATCTGTTGCTATGGAGGCCCACAAAGTGGTACTGTGGGAAGGAAGAAGGGAGAAGAAAGAAATGGCAGGGTGGGTCATAGTGAAAGAGAGAGAAGAGAGAAGCATGACATGCGAGGCCAATGCCATCTCATTTTCCACGTCAGGACAACATAAGCCTGAAACCTTTCAGTTCTAAGATCTCTCTTTCTTGCCTGGACATGAAGATTTTCCTTTTGTAATGGTGAGTCATGGAGGTTACACGTGTCAGTCTAAATAAAGACAGGTGTCAAGCCTCATGGTCCTAGGCCTGCTAAGACGCCTTGTTAACTGCATTTGTGTAAATTCAAGATGGTGGCCTGATGCAGGTCAGGGCAGCTATATGAACATTCGTTATGAGTTATGACAAGTAGCAACAACTGATCCTTACCAAAGGAAGCAAAGAATAATAGACTTTTATTGCTATCTTTCAATCCCTGCCATTTCCTGGTCATGACAATTCGTTATACCCTATATGCCAGCAAACTTCATTTTAAAAAATACTCTGGCAAACTCCAAGCTTTCAAATTGATTTGGAAGAAATTTCAATTTGGATCATAGTTCATGTGCTGATCAACATGACTCCTGATCCCTTAAACTATTAGCTGACCTTATATTTGGTGTGATGCTTGTTATTGTTACTACATGAATTTGGACCAGCATGTTTTTAGTTTTTACCTTTTCCTTATGCCTTCAGTAGCTCCAGCTAGTTGATTTCTTCCCAAAGTCCCGGGCATAGTTTATGCCTCTCCAAACTCAGTGAAGCACACCATGCATTTTAAGGGGTTTATTGGAGTATGTTACATATATGTGTATAGAGCCATTTCTGTTTTTTCTCACTCCTGTGTTTATTTATTTCACTATTTATCTATCAGCTTTAGTTATGCTAGTTACTTCTCTACTCTGTAACTATTTTGGCAAGAGTTATGTCCACACTGTCCTGTGTGAGGCCCAGGTAAAGGCTGCTGAAGCTGCTGCGCAATTAAAACTAGAGGAAGAGATGAGGAGGAAGCGCGAGCAGGAAAGAAAAGCTGCACGGCTGGCACTGCACATGGTACTTCCTGCTCACCATTTTCTTACCTGAAAAATGCTATGCTTGATGCCCCATTATGGTTATTCACGCTGTTCTCCTTGCGTGTAGATGAAGAAGACCGTTGATATTGACAACAGCGACTTTCTGAAGGACCTGGAGAACTTGTGCCAAAAGTGGCAACTGAATCCTCCAAGCAAATTAATCGTAGACTTTGTCCATGGGATTGAGTTGACGCAGGGCTTAGGGAGCCCACTGGAGGCACTTGGCCTATTCATGAAGAAAGATATCGAGGAAGAGGTCGAACATGAAATGGAGGACAGCGTGTCAACCTCCCAGAATGCTGATGTCGAGGAAGGAGAGATCAGCTGCTGTCAATAGTGTACCTCTCATTCTATGATTATGTGCGTGCTATGTAACCTATTCCACCACTGTGGCACTGCTATGTAACCTATTCCACCACTGTGGCACTGTGCAACCTCATAAGTGGAGTAAAAGAAGTTTGACTTCATGCATGTTGTCTGCTGTGTCATCTAACCTAGCTGCACCAGAATGTCTAGCGTATGTTGGAGTACAATAATTGGGCATTGCTGCCAGTTTTGTGGTTGTCATGTGGAGATGTGCTAATGTATGTTGTAGATGTTCCAGGTCTATTTAAACTGGACCTTCTGTAAAAAAAAATACAAAAAAAAGAATAGTGACATATCAATGTATATTGTAGTTATATATGGTTAGAGAAAGATGTTTGCCATTCATGCTGCTTTTTTTAAGGCCCGTTTCGCAGGCTCCGGCTCTTGGCGCAGAAGCCGTCAGGAGCTGGTGGAGCACCTTTTCGAAGTTACGTTTTTTTAGTGCGTAAGCAATGGACGCAGATGTTTTGTGAATCTGCCAAAATCAATTGATGCAAAATCTAGGTCCGATTCTCTCTCTCTCTTTTCTTTTCTTCACATGTCGACGCTGTATACATTCACATACACGTGTTGTTCTTACATGGTGCTTGTGCAGGCTACGTTACAAGTTCCCTCAGCCTAGTAACAAAATCACCTTGCCCGAGTATGGGAAGGGAATCATCTAAATTTTGCCGTATATACATTTATGTGAACTTAAAATAAGTGGTTGCTGAAGTAATTGATTGAAATGAGTAGCATAATTGATGAAAATAATAGCACGAAAGTATTCAACAAAGTGGCTGTAGTTTAGTGGTTAGAATTCTACGTCGTGGCCGTATAGACCTGGGCACGAGCACAGACGAGTTCTTTTTTCCCAGCAGGCACCAGGATAACTTTTTTTTAGGCAACGTATAAGTTGCAAATCAAATTTAAAAGCTATCAATCAGGACTACTAGATGCCCATCTAATAGATGGGGTGAGAGGTGGGATTTTTTTGCGCTTAAGCCCCCCACCCACCGACCTTTTTTTTTGCGTTTAAGCCCCCTCACCCCATCCATTAGTTCAGCATCTGGTGGTCCTGATTTGTAGTTTCCAAGTTTATATAGGTTGGTTGGTTTACACCTGGTATGTTACATTTTTTATCCCCTTTTCCGTCCGTTTTAGCAATTGATATCAATTTAATTTTTTTCACCGTCCTTTTTTATCACCGTCCGTTTTTCCGTTTTAGCAACGTCCGTTGTAGCATTTGATATTTTTCATCGTCTGTTTTAGGTTTAAGCAGTATTTTTTCACCGCCCGTTTTAGGAGGGAATCATCTTATCCACCGTCCGTATAGCAATTGATATCAATTTTTTTATCACCTTCAAAAAAAAATTATCACCTTAAAAAAAATTATCACCGTCCGTTTTAGGAGAGAGTCATCTTATCCATTAAGAGGCCATACTTGTTTCAAAAAATTAAGAGGCCATATCAAATATACAGCATAGTTTTAAAAGCTACATCTACCAAAATCAATTGATGCAAAATCTAGTTCCGATTCTCTCTCTTGTTTTCTTCACATGTCGACGCTGTATACATACATTCACATACACGTGTTGTTCTTACATGCTGCTTGTGCAGGTTACGTTACAAGTTCCCTCAGCCTAGTAACAAAATCACCGGAGACTGTTAAAGTTTTATCAGGTCTTATCTACAAACCCATCTTCCTGGGCCTCAGATAAGTCGCGCCCTTCTTCAGGCCTGGCATAGCAACCTGTTGCTGCTGCTTAGCTCTCTTCTCCCGCTCCTTCTCCTTCTCCATGCGCGCAGCCTCTGCTTGCTCCTGCCTCAGCTTCTCCATCTCCTCCTCCATCGCCGTCTTCTCTTCCTTCTGCCTCTTCTTGTGGTCCAGAAGAGAGGTGTCTGTCTCTTTCACAGAGAAGAACATGGGGCCCATCTCCGCTAGCCACTGCGGATCAACTGCAGTGACACACTGCATGTACTCCTTGGTGGTCAGGACAAGCTCGTGGTAGACAACGTAGTCAGGAGTGTAGCCAAGGCCATATAGCGCACTGCTGGGGTGCAGGTGGCACGGCATCCCATTCCGGCAGTTGACGTACTCCCCAACACCCTTCAACCGGGCAGAGTTGTGGAAGTACGCAGAGCAGATGGCTTTCCTCACCACGTCCCATTCCATATGGCATGATGTCAGGGGGATCTTCAGGGTTTTCAGTATGTCCAGCAGCTGAGATCTCACTTCACGAGCCTTGCGGAGACCCTTGACATGGAGGAAGTGGTCGTTGCACCAGTCGCCTCGATACTGATTAGACTTCCACTGAAGATATACGTTCAGGAGTGTCAGGTGGTCAGACTCTGGGACAAAGAACTTCTCCCTTGCTGCATCACTCTCCTCTGCTCGGTCTTTTGGCCGGAAGAAGACTGAGGGCACTGATAGCATGGATACAATGGTCAGCACCTCATCAAGGCACTCTAGCTGCTCCCCCATAAGAAGCATTTTTGCCAGAGTTGGATCCAACGGGAACTCCACCATCTTCCAGCCAATTTCTGTAAGGCCACCAACATTGTTCAATGCACCTAACACCCAGAGTTGGTACATTGAGTTGAGGATATTCTCCTGGGGCGGTGGGTCCATAAAGTCAAAGTCAAGCAAGTTTTCAACTCTGAGGGACTTCAGTAAAAGCACCACATTCCCCAGGTTGGTCCTTTGGATCTCTGGCACAGGGTTAGGGAGCATCTCATTCTGGTAGGCTGATTCTGTGAACAGCCTGTAGCATGTGCCAGGGCCAGTTCTTCCTGCCCGACCTGCACGCTGGTCTGCAGCTGCCCGGCTGGCGGGGAAAACCTGAAGGGCATCCATACCCATCCGTGGGTTGTACACCTTCATCTTCCCATACCCGGTATCAATGACATAGAAGATACCATCGACTGTTAATGAGGTCTCAGCAATATTGGTAGCAACAATGCACTTGCGAGCGCCCTCTTCAGCCTTCTGAAAAATCTTGGCTTGCAAGTCAGCAGGCAACTGTGAGTAGATGGGCAGAATCTCTAGCTTGGGCACAGTCTTGGTGGATGATGATATTAACTGTTCCATACGTTCAGCAAGCGCATAGCAGGTAGCCTCGATTTCTTCCTGCCCAGTCATGAAGATTAGGATATCACCAGGGCCACTGGTTATGTGGATAGTCATGGCCTGCTTCACTGCCGCTTCCACGTAGTCCTCACAAGGTGTTTTGCTGAACATAATGTTAACTGGGAATGTCCGGCCGGGAATATGGAATACAGGCACACTGCAAACAAAGATAGCAGTTACTAGGCTTGCAGAGATAAGTAAGGCACAGATTTTACTTGGAGTAAAGGTACCTATCAGGTTTTCTTACCCTCCAAAGAACTTGGAGAATTTGTCTGCATTTAGGGTTGCAGATGTGACGATTAGTTTAAAATCCCGTCTACGTGCAACAACCTTCTTCAGTATACCAAACAAAACATCAGTATTGAGTGATCTTTCATGTGCTTCATCCATGACAATAACACTGCAAAAGAATGGGGTAAAAAACTTTAGTATGGCAAGCCATACTCAGACCATCTGAGGCACATCGCAAGTTATAAAAAATACTAAAGGTAGGGACAAGTTATCAACATACCGATATTTGTCGAGGTCAGCATCTTTCAAGGTTTCACGGAGAAGCACTCCATCTGTCATATACTGCAAACAACCCACAAATAATTTTGTTACTGTCAGGAAGACAGGAACTTCATGCTAAGCAACTAAACTTGACCAAAGGTAAGTAAATTTGACAACGTAAATCTGCACCAAGTTTCAGCCAATCAGTCTGACATGATCACAAATAATAGTTATTAGGCTACAAGACATATGTTATTTGGGCTAAATATAAACCTTCCTATAGGCTATAACTGAGAGGAAACACATGTGGTCTATATTATCTATACTAAAGCCTGACATTATAGAAGGAAAAAAGATCTGAAGGTGCTTGAATTTTACCCTGTAAACAAGTCACAAGTAGTTTACCTTTATTATAGTGTTTGGACCAGTGACATCCTCAAACCGTATGGCATATCCGACTTTATCTCCCAGATCAGTCTCCATTTCCTCACTGACTCGCTTAGCAACACTCATGGCAGCCACACGCCTTGGTTGGGTACAGCCAACAACTCCTGTGGTAGTATATCCATCCTCGTGCAGATACTGAGTCAGTTGAGTAGTCTTCCCAGAACCAGTTTCACCAACAACCACAACTACTTGATTTTCACGCACAACCTGCTCAATAATAATATAAGATCAGGTTATGACCAAATTGGCTTTGCGATCACTTGAAACTAAATATACAAAAGCCAAAACTACTCCATCTGTTCCAAATTATAAGACGTTTTGGCTTTTATAGATACACTGTTTTTACAATGTATCTAGACATAGTGTATATCTAAATGCGTTGCAAAAGTTATGTATCTAGAAAAGCCAAAACGTCTTATAATTTGGAATGGAGGGAGGACTCAAGCATTATGTATACACAAGGAATTCCACAGGCCATTCAATATAAAATTATGAAAGTTGTTTAAATGAAAGGGCAATGATCTGCATCTTGCCCTTTCTCCTTGCGCATAAGTGTTTCTTCATCCATCAAAGCCATAGCCCAACGTTCCAATCCTTTTGGATGTTGAAACATGTATACGCGAAAGGGCCTCTGGTAGAGTTGGTTAGGTGGTTTGAGTAGCACTTCTAGGTCCTGGGTTTGACCCCCCATGGAAGCGAATTTCACGATGGGGTTACAAAATCCCCTCGTCTGTCCAAAAGCCTCGGTTGTGGTTGTTCTCACATGGGCTACGATGCCGCTATGTATGGGTGGGGCAGGGATTCGAGGGTCTCTCAACCTGCGTGAGAAGGTCTTCTTAATGCAATGCCTGGGGGCTGTCTTACCCCCCACAGGTCGATTTTTTTTTTGAAATGTACAGTATACAGTAGTTACCAACAGCTTTCAGGTATAATAAATTCCATGAAATAGAGGAAAGTAAGATAAAAAATCATGACAGAACTAAAAAACTCGTAATAAATGTACAAACCTGTAGCAGATCATCCCGGACAGTAAATATGGGAAGATACTGTCTTTGTTGAGAAAGGGATTTTGATTTTGCAAAATCACTGACAGCTTCTGCCTTATCCTTCAAATGTTGTGAAAACTTTGCTTCTTCTTTAAAATTAATCTCACCTTGGTCACCAACAACAGCAGTATCTGCATCAACCTGATTTTTCAAAGGTGAGTAGGAAACAACGACAAGGAATTGTCTTTCTTAAAACACATAAATACAAGTGGACATAAGTACCTGTTCAGCTGTTTTCTCAACACCCAAGATATTTCCAAGCTTAGATCCAGCAAGCTCCCAAAATCGTTGCCTTGATTTGTTCATGCTTTGCTTTTCACGGATTTCCCTAACCAGACTAGAACCTTTGCGTGCAATAATAGCCATATCAGATGTTGGGTCCTTCAGAGGCATTACAGGTTCTGCTTGTTTTGTGAATACAACTCTCCCATCCAGGAACGGAGGCTTTGTGTCTGCCAAAAAATAAGGCAATTAACTTGTCAGATTCAACTGCATCGAACTGCTGTAGAAAAGCAGAAAGACTTGCAACAAGTAAAAGAATAATATTGCCACACACATTATAGTATCTTAATGCTGTGTTATGTACAAATAATTACACAAAGGAAACATAGAGGGCCCCAGATTAGTGTGGATTACAAGGAACAGCCATCGTCTACTAGCCGTCGAGCCAAGTAACTCAGTAATACAAACAGATCTAAAGATCAGATCAGTTAAAACCATTGTGCTGTTGATATCCCATCACCAAAATACTTAATGATTTTCACAAGAAATGTTAAAAAAAAACTCGGCCGGTGTGAGAAAGACTGCTCCCACTGCATCGCACTTGAGAAGAAGCTTCTCACGCGCAAGCCGAGAAACACCCCAAAGGCTGGCTGCCCTGGACGTGCCACCAAGTGCCCACATGCATCTTTGCATCTCACTGAAAACGACTCATGTGGTTACACGTATAACACAGGATCACAGCTGGCGAGGGGTGTTTTTGTTTAACCCAGGCCCGCCTAAAATTCACTTCCATAGGGAAACGAACCTAGGACCTGGCGTGCTACTTGAGCCCTGCTAATCACTAATCAGTCAGGTAGCAGGCCTGTTCGCTTCACAAGAAATGCTTTATATTCCTTATAAAACTTTACATGAGAAACAGAGGGATGACTCCTAAGATGTATGTGTGATTTTCGAAGCTTATTGAATCACAGGTATGAAACTGCAAGCGCAAATAGAAGGAAGATGTGATAGGCAAAGAACATACCATGAACAAGAAGTATTACTTTCCGTTCCTCCTCCTCATCAAATTCAGTTTGCACTTCTGTTCCTTTAACAGCTCCGGATCTCAACAATTGTCTATCCTCCCACTGAGCATTATCAGCAGTCATCTGTGACAGCTTTTTGCTTTGAGCAAGGGTCATCAGGCTACCATCTCTACGAGTCTGCAACCAAGAGAAATAGATGTCAAAACCAGAGTACTGCAAAAGTTAAGGCTACAGAAAATATTACAAACTACTCCCTCCAGTCACAAACTCACAAATAAGTGACATTTGGATGTTGTCTGAAGTCAATTATTTCAAACTTTGACTAGTACTTTTCATTATATTATAACCACAGAACATAGGAAATGTATACTTTTATCAAACTATTTCTCAAGACAAATCTACTCATATCACTTCCAAACATTCAAACTTAATAAGTGAAAAGTAATGTGTACTTGAGGGAGTACAAAGTTTACTAGAAACTAATTGAGATTATTGAAAAATGTTGAGTTATTGGCATATAATTTCAGCACACACAGTTTGACTATACTGAAAAGAACTTATATGAAAATTATAAACCGTACCAAAAGATTAATACAACTTCCTTTGTGATGGTGCACTATACATGCTATACATCTCGTCAGGATCACAAATTTAATAGAGGTAAAATCTGATATGTTGCTGGAGGATAGGAAGTCAAAGAATAAGATCAAGGCAATCAAAGCATGCGTCTAATTGCTGTTGTATTATCGTGTCCTACTTTCACTTCTTGCAGGCATTTCACTAGTTGACCATCAGGTGCTTACATGAAATGTGATACCAAAGTTCGGTAGGCCCAACTCTTGTTAGAAGCACGACATCATTGTTTTTTAATCGATGATCACAGCTTCATAGTTATATGTGCTCACAGTACTATGTCTGACCCATAATAAAGATTAAAGAAACAGAACTATGAAGGTTGTGATGGAGTATTTGGGACTTCGTAGTAAAATATAGGTACACAAATAAGGAACCTACCAGCTTCTTCGGCATCTCTGCTTCCTTCTTTTTGTAGGAATTATCATCTCCGAGATACATAGAATTATCACCATCGAACATGGTGGTGTGTTCTTCACAGTCATACCTGAAGAATTTGTAAAGGTTAGAACTAAGTAGTTAACTATATTTAATATTGTATCTTCCATGAGTAAAGAGTGTTGAGTCATCATATTCATTTCCCTTCACTAGAACAAAAGAAAGTGCGCTATGGTGTATGAAATTGTGCTAAATAGTAAATACAAGTAGAAAATATTCACACATGGGATTTCAATATATAAACTAGTAATAGTAAGTATAAAAAGTTTACTTTGCCAAAGTAGCAGATAGCTCAGTAGTTAATACAAAATAAAAGGAGCAGACATTGAAGGAACAGAAAGCTTTTGCTTATATGTTTGCAATGCCAACAAATATCATAAAGCAACAGTAATATTGTCCTTCTGTAATTAAAAAAACTAAACAAGGTTTGTAAGGAAAATTACCATGCACGGTCAGCATTGTAGTCCATCTCTTGCATCATTTCCTCGGTTATCTCATAGTTCCTATCAGGATTTGAGGGGCTTCTATCAGCATCGATGACCTGGGATAACAAGGTAGCATTTATAGACTTGTACCTTATGATAACAACATGTTGAGGAAATAAAAACAAAAAGACGAACTAAAGAAACATGGCATTCAAAGATCAACTCAACAGGTTGCTATCACTAAATTAACTTGGACTCGGGCATGATAAAACTTCACAATGTTGATTGAGTATACCTAAAAACAAAGATTAATCCACAAAAAGAGAACTAGTAACCTAACAGGCTAAAAGCTATATATTTGTGAAAACTGTTTAGTCAGTAACTAACATGCCTATTGAATGACATAGAAACCATGACTGCACAGTTACATTTAAGCATAAATCAACCTAGAGAAAGAAGACATGCAAAAGGCGGGAGATGAGGTGCACCGTGCTGATTAATTAAATTACATGCAAAAGAAGACGTGTTAATCTGAACAAAAGCTCGTGGTTAATTAAATTATGATGTACAAAATATGATTCAAACTTACATTTGATAGCGTGAAATAAGTATGCTGCAGAAAATTGAATTCTAGCTTACATTAGAACTAGTTGTCGATGTAAAGGTAAGCTGGTGCGATCTTCCACTGGAATGTGAATAAGAAGACCCTTTTGAGGAACCAGAAGCACGTATTGGAGCAGGTGAAGGGGATACGTTATCCCACGGGGACGCTGGACATTAAGAACACAGAAGATATTAGTTTCATGATTTAGTTGGGTTACTGAGATGTCAACAGAGTATATTTACTACACAAAAACAAAGCAGTTTTACTGAAAGTCCTGTCTCAACATGCTTTACCTGCTGAACGTGGTGTATTCCCGCCTAACCAAGGAGACACCAAGCGTGCATCTGGGGATGCAGCAGCAAGCATAGGAGATCGTGTTGAAGACTGTCTTCGGGAGCCAGGACGATTATCACGGTAATCTCGACGAGGTGTATCTTCCCATTCCCAGCGTCCATCATCCCAATCAGATCTTGCTAATATTTGCAATGGCAATCATACTCCTATCAGTAAAATGTCAATTCAATGAGAAGAGTAATAAAGAATGCCAAGCTAAACAAGTACCAGGTGTTCTTGAGCTTCTTGAGCTATGCTCATGTCGACTTCTCTTGTTAGTATATTCAATCGATATAGACCTCCCACGCTCATCACGCCTAGTATGAGATTCTCTATCATCATGGTATCTTCGCCTTCCACTACTACTATAGCCTATGGATGCAGATCTCTCATGATCACCATGTTTATCACATGATCCTCTATCATCATAATAATCATAACCACGAGGAGTGCCATGAGGACGAGAACCTTGAGAGCTTCCAGAGATGTGGGTCTGTAAATTAACAGGCATAGAAATTGACTTGTTAGTAAGGTCTAGTAAAACTAATGTAAAGCATTGATGTAATTTCCAAAAGAAGCAGGTGGGACTGTATATTGAAAGTTTCCATGTAATTAAGACCTCTTGCCGGTGGGGTTCATCCCGATGGCTGGGTGTTGGGGCCCTTTCATCTTTATCAGTGACTGTTGGTTCTGAAACAAAGAGAGAGATTTAGTTACAACTTAAAAATGAGTGGAAATGAATTACCATAAAACCATAGCACTAGAAGAGCATATACATTAGCTAATTTATGCAGCTCATGTATTTAGCTCAAAGAAAATGACGCACCATTCAAAGATGTTTTATCATCAGAACCGCTTCCTCGATAGCGGCGTGATGAGTTACTGCGAATCGCCGTGGAGAGGCTCGCCGCATCATTCTCTGTAGCTCCTGGCTTCTCATCTTCATCGATGGAACCTGCAGCAACAGCTACCTTGGGAGGGGGTGGCTTAAACACACTGCCGCCTCCCGCTGCCCGTTTCTTGTCAGCAAGGGTGTCAAGACCTGCCGAAGAACAGACCAAGAATTAGCTAACTAGAGCCATGTGAAGGCCAAACAGTAATCACTAATCAGTTCACAAGTCTGCGAATGTATTAATCAGGGTAAAGCAAAGCACATTCAGTAAACGCACCACACAAACACTGCACAGGCACATAATAAGTATATACCTAGGACAGACTTCCCTGCCGGCGGCCGGTACATGACCCGCTGCTTGTTCGTCAGAATTAGCCCCTGAGATGTGTCGTCCTCCGGGCCTAGGGTGGTCATCGTCGCGTCCAGGTCAACCTCCCCGTTCCCGTTCCCGTTCCCGTTCCCCTGCACGACGGAAACGAAGCAATATCGGCGTAAGCACAAACAACCTAAGGACTCGAAACGAACACGAATTAGCTCAGGTTAGCGTCCCCGCAGTTACCTCCATGGTGATGGTCGCCGGGGAGCGCTCGGAGTTCGTGGACCAGCACTAAGTAACCTCGGATCGGCACCTCGGGAGGTAGAGGGCGAGGGCCGAACCTCCTGCTGCTGCTGCGGCGGCGGCGGCGGGCTAGGGTTCGGTCAGCGCGCGAGCGGCATCCGGCGGGAGGTGGCGATGGCGTCGAGCGAAGCCAGGCGAGGCGGCGCGTCGGTCGAATTTGGGCTCCCGAGTCTGGAGGAGATTGGAGGGGAGTGCCGGAGTGGGGATTGAGAATTTTTGTCGTGGAACAGGCGGGGTCAGGGTGCAAATTGTCAAAGCCGCGCAGCGCCTTATTAGCTTCACCCCCAACTTCTAAAGTATCTGTCACATCGAATGTTTGCGACTCTTGTATGAAGCATTAAATATAGACGAAAAAAAAACTAATTGCATAATTTAATGGGAAATTACGAGACGAACATTTTGAACCTAATTAGTCCATGTTTAAATACTATTTACCAAATAAAAACGAATGTGCTATAGTAACCTAAAATCCAAATTTCACGAACTAAACGAGGGCTAAGCGAAGGCCCTGTTTGAAGTCGGTTAGTCATGTCGGTAGAGACCCTAGTCTAGAGCCTAGAGAGGGAGGGACGCCGACGGGTTTATAAATCGGGTTTTTTGAACTAGACTAGAAACTTTTTTTAGCAATCCAAGCGAACAGGATTTATCTAATCGGTACACGCTGAACACAAGCAGTAATATTAGTAGGTGACTGTCACCGGGTGACATATTTTATTGTTTCTACCGCCGGACGGCCGCAGCACTGCTTAAGTAGTTGTTAGATTTTCAACGTACAATATATTCCCCTAATTTGCTAAAATTTCATGTCTAATATCACGTGGTTGTTAACAATACATATATAAGTAATTCAATTTAGACATTTATAGTTATCAGTTTTAAGACTCTCTTGTTCTATTTTTAGTCACGTTCAGACATCCCTGTTAATGGAACCTAAAAAACATCTTATTTCTCGTCTACACCTGAAAAGATTGTAACATCATCATCACGTGACGATACCAACTCTCGATCCTTGCTCATGTGTCCGTGTCCGATAAAAATCATCCTTCACTCACAGCTTGCTCATCCAACATCCTATCAGGTTCCAATAAGAAAAATAGATCCACGTGTCCACAGCTGACATGATTTTTATTATTTTCTGCAAATCCATCATAGGAGGTGTCAACAAAAAAAATACGTGCGTCCGGTGCAATACACAGACATTTATCTAGTATATATATACATAAAACAGTTCAGCATGCCAGAATCAAAAAAAATCTGACGCTCAAAATTGGATCATAACTCTATTTTATGGAATAACAATCAACATCTATGCATATTTATAAAAGCATCTCTAATAATTCTATAAAAATCACTTTGCTGAATTAATGATTATACTAAGAATTTCGTCCTGCACCACTAGGCACGGCTACCATCAGCCAGGCGAGTGTAATGAATTTTGTTGGTGGCGAGTGTCAGTGAAATTTGTTGGCTACAGAAGTACTCATCCATCCGTTCCAAATTATAAATTACTTTAATTTTTTTATTCATCTATCTTATTATGTATCTAGACATATTGTTATATCTAGATGTAAAACAAAATAGATGTACCAAAAAAATCAAAGCGACTTATGATTTAGAACATATGGAGTATAATTATATTTCAAACAGAAAAATGTTACTCCCTTCTTCCTATAAAATATTGATGTTCAAACCATTTTAAGCTTAAATCGTAGAAAATAATAACGATATTTACTATGTCAACCCGAGCTTAATGTGGTACAAATTAATATTTTTATTTATAAATTTGATCAAATTTAGAATATTTTGACTTAGGGCAACTGATATTCTTGGTCGAAAGCAGTAGATGAAAAAGTCTAACATTTGGAATTTCTCATGAACTTTTTCTAATAGATTATTTATAACTACTGTTAGAGATGTTTAGAACAGTTTAGGTCTTGTTTAGTTCCGCGAAATTTGGGAATTTGGCTACTGTAGCACTTTCGTTTTTATTTGGCAATTAGTATTCAATCATGGATCAATTAGGCTCAAAACGTTCGTCTCGCGATTTCTCACCAAACTGTGCAAAAAAAAATTCGTCTATATTTAATGCTCCATACACGTATCGTAAGATTCGATGTGATGACTACTGTAGCACTATTTGAAAAAACTTTTTGAACTAAACAAGGCATTGATACAAGATCTGGAGTTGTTGGTGCAAATTTCATCCTTCCCTAGACACCTGACACCTGAGTCCTAAAAGCACGTTATCCTGATGTGGCACCAGTGAAATGAGAGGAAAAGTTCGTGAGGGAGAAAGAAGACGCTCTATGGCTGATCTAGCTTTTTATCATCAATACTCAAACTCAAGAATTATTGAAACTATTTGAGAGGGGTCAGTTAGCAAAAACAGAAGACCAACCATATCATTGGAGTCTATCTATCCAACAACCATGTGTTTTATGTAGTTTTAACACATAAATTTTTTTGCACTATAGAATTAAAATCCAACAGCCTCCACTCTCCTTTTACCTCCAGCTTGCAGCCTTCTTGTACCTCCAAACAATCACAAATCACAAATCACAAAATCACAGATCATAAAAAATAATATTTTTTTATAGAATGCCAAATCACATATGGCAGAGGAGGAAGAGAAGAGACCTGCATGCTTCGTCCAGCCAGCAGACGCGTGCGTGCTTCGTCCAGCCAGCAGGTCCAGCCAGCAGATGCGTGCGTGCTTGCGTGCTTCGTCCAGCCAGCGGAACGGTGCGGGCAAGCAGACGCGTGCGTGCATTGCGGAACAGGCGGGATCGGGGCAGCAGAACGGAGGGAGACAGAGAGAAAAAATTCGTGTTTTTTTTTTCTAAAATACATATATGTTATATAACATTTCTGTTGAAAAAAGGCCGCAGTCAGACGTGCGCAAGCTAAACTCAGATGGAGCCTATACGACTACAAGGAAAAAAAAGAAGATGGGGATTCATGATCCGAGTAGCATGGGACGTGGTGAAAGCTGGTGGGGGCGGTCTGGGCAGCACCAACACGAGAGAGTAGATAAATTGAGGGCAACCGTCTCCCAACGCAGGCAGCTCATCCCACTACTCCTATCATGTTCACGGTCCCACAAAACACCTTTCATGCTCTCATTTTTGGTTCTCATGCTCTGCTTTTGAGAGGAAAGCCTTATTTAGATCATCTCTAAATTCTAAGTTTTTTCATTCTCTTTATCACATTAATTTTTAGACGTATGTATGGAGTATTAAATATAGGTAAAAAAATAGCTAAATACATAGTTTGGTTGTAAATCACAAGACGGATCTTTTGAGCCTATTTAGTCCATAATCGAACAAAGTTTGTTAAATACAAACAAAACGTGCTATAATATTCAAATTGTAAAAATTTACAATCTAAACAGCGAAGTAACGCCATGTTTGAGCAGTTCTTCCCCGCAACGTACTCCCTAGCAGTTGCCTCTACTTTTTGTCAGACAAGGCTGCTGGTGTATTTGGTATGGGCTACGGACTTGTTTAGATCGAAATTAGAAATCAGTATTTGGTATTGTTGTATTTTCATTTATATTTAACAATTATTGTTTAATCATGGTCTAACTAGATTCAAAAGATTCGTCTCGTAATTTATAATCAAACTATGTAATTAGTTATTTTTTATCTACATTTAATACTCCATGCATATGTCTAAAGATTTGATGTGATAAAGAGAAAATGAAAAAACTTGCAATCTAAACAAGGCCCAAGTGGAACCGCCATCTCTTGTGACATGACGAGTCGATGCATGTATGTGGAGACTGACCCGTTTGTTTAGTTCTACTCCAACTTCCAAAAAGTTGCTACAGTACCTGTCACGTCGAATGTTTGCGGTCTGTGCATGAAGTATTAAATGTAGACGAAAAGAAAAACTAATTGCACAGTTTGGTGAAAAATTACAAGACGAACATTTTAAACCTAATTAGTTCATGTTTGAACACTATTTGCCAAATAAAAATGAAGCATCCAAATTTCATGAACTAAACCAGGGCTGAGGCAGTAGCCCAGCGTGATGCATGGGGAAGCCCTTATCAAATTTCAAATATGACAGGACACATTTCAGACAAAAACAATAGCTTTTTTTATGGAAATCAAAGCTACGCATGAGATGGGAATTCGGCGTGTAGCGACTGCAATGGATGGCCTCAAACATGAAGCCAAGGCACCTGTATGTAGCAATTTTGCAATGTTTCTATATTATAACCGTCCCGAAGTTAAAGACTAATGCTCTCTATTAACCATTAACCATTGTCCCCAAAGTTAACAGACTAAGGCCCCATTTGGAATATAGGATTGAAAAATGTAGGAATAAGAAAAAAACATAGAAATAAGATAGGAATGCATATGCAAAACATAGGGATGAAAAAACACAGAAAGTTTGTAAAACATAAAATAGGAGTTTGGATGAACTTCAAGAGAAACATAGGAAACCAAACACCCGAGAGCCTGTTTGGAACGTAGGAATTTCATAAGAATCTCATTGGAATTTCACATGAATCAGTTTAATTTTACAGGAAAAACGCAGGAACAGGAATTTTTTCCCGCAATCAAACATGTTCTAAGATTTGAGTGGATGTTTTTTTCCTATGGATTTCCTATGAAATCAAACAAAAGAAAGTTTCTTACGTTTTCCTACATGCAATTCCTGTGAACCAAATGACGCTACAGTGATTCAATCCATGGTAATTCAAATCCTATATTTTTCTTCTTTATTTTTCTTGCAATCCAAAGGGGGCTTGCTTCTATCTAGTGGCTGTATTGTAGTAGGACGGTACCGGGCGTGGACTGGAGGACCCCATCGGTGACAGCATTTGGTGCTTCAGTTAATGGAATTTCAAAATTCCGAAAAAAAGTCCTAAAGCACGTTTCGGGGCAAAGCAGTCTATCCTATTAAAACAGTCGAACTCGAACGAAAAACTCTTTAAC